TATATACTTGCAAGTAAACTGCAGTTAATATGACGATTATTACTTCATGTCCTCATATTGTTATAAAAATTCACAATACATATTGAAAAACATCATTTATATAGATAAATCGATTGAAATATTATTAAATCAATATATCTCTTACTTATCTATACTTGCACTTCATATTAAAATAATACTTTTTCATATTTCTTTTCTTTCATTTATACTATTATAATGTAAATTTATATTATTAAAACATACAATATTGTTTAACTTTAATATCTTTTTTAGTATGTTAATTTTTCATCAAGTAATTATTATTTTAAAAAATCACGAATATTTATATTGTGTCATGTTGAAGTATTATGACAAGGCTCTATATCATTTATAATATTACGATAATCATTCCATAATTTTTTGAAACACACAGTTCCACCGCCTCGTGAATATTGTGTATCCTAAACAGGAAAACATTTTTAATATTTATAATTTGTATATTTATATTTTATTTATTTTTAGATAAAAAAAATCTTTTTTAATTATAAAACTTACAGCTCTATTAATATCACCAATGCAAACCCAATGATTGTTAGATTTTTTAGTGGCTGTTATTGCCCATTTTGAATGATCGTGACTACTATTATAATCTATATTCACTGTCTCGAATTTAAGACTTTTAACATTGTAAATTCTGAAAGATTAATGAATTTATGAAATGGAAAATAATTTAAAATGAAGGAACAAAGATTAAAATATGATATAACCTACTTTCTACGAGTACAAACTGTAGGTAACTTTCCTTGACTATTCAACCATGACTGGACATATAAATCTGCTTGTAATTGTGGTGCTACAAAATCGCCATACAAATCTGAAATTTAATTAAATTTATTTACATTAAATAATGTAAATATAATATTATATAAAAAAACAATATGTACGTATAATATAATTTTATATATAATATAAATAATTATTATCTACAATTACTTACCTTTTCCCCATTTACCACTCTTAGCAAACGAAGTGAATTCAAGATCTCCTAAAGATTTTATAATGGCTTTATGAGTATATGGAGGATTTTTAAAATGTTTTTGATTGGTTGCATTCTTCAATACTGGATATTTTTTACCAAGAGTTTTGGGAATATTTTTTGCATATACTGCTATTTCATTGTATATTAATTGTTCTCCAACAACATCGAACTGATCATTCCCAAGAGAAATACATAAAAAGCTCTGTCCGTATAAAGTTCCACTTTCTGGATAACTATATTTGCCATCGATAGTTATATTTTCTCTTCTTAATGGTCGAGTTTGCATACCTTCTATAGGAACTGGAGGAAAATTTGGAACACTGTGAATTAACCAAAATCCTTGATCACTGTTTATCATCACTACACCTTTAGTATGACCATAATTCCATGCATAAGATGCATTTGGCGGACTATCGTTATATAAATTCCATAAATTATCCTTTTCGTTTTCCTATATAATTATTATATAGGATTATATTATTATATCCATTAAATTACTTATAAACATACTTATAAATTACTTATACACATACTTTTTACTATATATATAACATTAATTTATTCTTAAATTATTTTATTTATTCTTAAAATTTTTTTCTTATTTTTTTTTAATGATATATTATAAATATTAAATCAATGATTTCCTTGTTTCTTATACATTTACTTTATATTTTTAGTAAAATAAATATATTTTATTTTTAAAAATTATATATAATTTAGCGAAAATTTAAAAATCTATCACATTAGATCATCACTAAATCATTAATATGTATTATATTCCCACGTAGTTATAAAATAAAAAAATAATGAAATTTTCATTAAAAAATTTGTATATAAATAATTGCAAATAAAACTCTTAAAAATCTTTTATCTCTTTAAAAATTATTTTTCGATCTCTTTAAGACTTCGCAATTCATAAATTGAAAATTGAAATTAGAACATATTATAAATTATAATAAAATGAAATTTTATTTTTCGCCATCTTTAAATTATAATATAATAATTGAATTTTAATTAAATAATTCTATTCTGTAGTATTAGATTTCTAATAAATCTAATCAATAATTAGTATTTGCTAAATGCTTACATGACTGTAAAGAGGCGCTAATGTAATTCCAGGCATAGAATTACTCGAACCGATAGGCCTAGTGGACAATTGCCAGCCTAATCTAATGGTTACATTTGTTATGTACAAATAAGCAAGACCTTTTCTAATTAAAGGATTGCTACTTGTTTGAATTTTTGGCAACTTATAAAGCACATACCTAAAATAATAAGTATTATTTTAAATTTATAATTAAATTATATTTTGTATGATTTATTAATTAATTAAGAGATATATATTATGATATTATCTCTTATTATAATATTATAAATCTTATACAAAATTAATTTTAATTTTATTTTAATTTAATTTTAATTAAGATAAATTAGTAATTTAAAAAATACTTACCAATCTACAGATAAATTATTTTCATCTTTACATTGTAATTTATTATAAAGGTTTCCATGTATGACATTACATATAATTAATAATGCAATTACATAAAATAAAACCTGCATCTTTTCAGTATTCTAAAAATTTAAAATAGAAAAAAAAAAGAAATAAAATGAAAGGGAAGAATATTAAAAAATTATGTTTAAAATTCTATTCAAAAATAATTATTGTTTCATAAATTTTTCATTCAGATCATTTAATGTTTTTAAATCATTACGTTATATAGAAAATTTTATATTATATTTATATTATATACGAATCATAATATCATTATTAATCTTAATTAATCAAATACTATATTTTTATATTTAGATTTAGATTTATTTATATAAAAATATAAACAAATTATTCACTTTAATATTTTGTATATTTATATTATATAATATACAAAATAATTTATTTAATATTGACTAACAATTAAATTGGCTGTTCATTCGTGTTCATTATAATTTATCTTATATTTGAAAAAGTGTTCTATCTATTATTTCATAAGTTTTTCTATAATATATACAAAAAAAGATTAAGAAGGTGCATATGATAATACATAAGTATTAAGAAATTGAAGTTAAAATTTTTATTTCAAATTTAATTGAAAATTTTAGAATTGAACAAAGAATTGAAAAATTTATTATGTATTTTTAATACACAAATAAAAAATATAGATAGAAAATTAATCGAAGAAAAAACAAAAGTCAAGTGTCAAAACCTACAAAATATTGAATATTGTTTAAAATATATAAAATAAAATAATTTATCATTTTTGGTCAGATTTATTAAATTTCAATGACAGTCATACATTAATTTACAATATATTTTGTTTCTTTTTAACATAATAATAACATAATAAATTGTTGCATTAAACTTACTTATTTAATTTAATTTATTAATTACACATAAATACAGTCCGAATGAAAAATTGTATAAAGACAAACAATAGGAAAGATATGTTAAAAATATTATTCACGAAATGAAATCATCGTATTTTTTCAATCAATCTGAGTCAAGTTTTCAAACAAGATTAGTTTAAGATTACAATATAAATCGATAAATTTGTTTTAAAATGAAATGTAACATAAAAATTCCATAAAGAATGATCTTGAAAATTTTTGTTTTTATTATTAATAATATCAATATTGCAACTTTATCTTGAAAACTTTTTGATACAATGATGACAAATAATGAAAATATTTAAATATCCTATTTTTCGTGATTCATTTTGTATACTATAATTATAAGAAAAAAATATGAACATAAATTATTTTTACATATATTGAAATATTTTATATTTGAATATTATCTAAATAATTATTATACATTGTTCTAAACAACCATACAAATTTATTTTCTATCCATAAAAAGATATAATTTATATAAAATGTCAGAAATCCGCAATTCGAAACAATAAACACGATATATTCGCGTAAATAATATTTTATTTATTATGTAAATACTTTATTTGTATACAAATTTTTGGATATAGATTTTGAAAATTGGTGGAGAGAATCATGAACATTTTATATTATATTATATTGATAAAATTAATTAAATATTCAAATATATTATATTAATAAAATTAATTAATTATTTAAATATATTATATTGATAAAATTAAAATATTTTCAAAATATCTTTTTTATTCATATAATATCTTTTTATCATATATATCTTTTTATATAATATTTATCATATAAATAATTTGTATATGTATAAATAAACACAATATTCTTAAATATAAAATTTACCGTAACAAATTTACCATAATTTATTGTATTATTAATTAATATAAAATACAATACCACTCAATAGCTCTTAAATAGTAACACTACTGTCATTATGATCGACACACTGCATTAAAGTAACTATAAGAATGTGCTACGAACGGTAAATATATGAATGTGTATGTTTATATATATGAAACTTCACTTTACGTCATCGAGGTTTATTTATCCTATTGGCTGAGAGACCAGTACGTTTTAAATAGTATACTAATTTATATATTAACGTATAGTATAAATAAAATTAGTAATTTTTATTTTTATTCATACAAAATATTAATACTTAATAAAATTAAAACCTAATACATATAATTTATAAAATTTTTGAAATAACAACTAAATATTTATATATCGCTGTTTCAATAACAATATTATTCTTTAAATAAATTATTATAAGTTTTATATTCTTTTAAAAAATATATTTATGAATTTCTTATTTTAAATAATTTAAAATGTGTTTTTATTTAATTTTTCTTCTATTTAAATTCTTATAATATACTTATAATAAAATATAAATGAATACTACATTTTGGTAAAAAAATAAAAAGGCAAAAATCCTGTTGCTAAAATCAATTTGTTTCAATTTTCAAACTTTTGAATATAATATTAATTTATCTAAACATATAGCTCCATCTATGATTGAATACATGAAGCAAATATTATATTGAGATTTATAATATGATCGACTGCAGTGAAGTAGCAATATGGCGATCATAAGTTGCAGCGGGCTGAACGTCATAATATTACAATGAGAAAACAAGGCATATCGTGTAAAGTAATAACCACGTACTAAAGTTATAATTTGGCCAAATGCTTTCTTAGCAATGACACTGCCAATAAACCATTTTAAACGGCACTATAGATTCCGTTGAGATATCTTTAAGAACCGACACGGAACAATAATGAATTCCTTTATAGAACTGGTTACAGAATATTCTTAACATTGACAGAAGAACGAAGAAACAATTTATAAATTCTTCGTTGAATGGAGGTATATTTTTAAAAATATTATTTATTTTAATGTTATATTTTATTATGTTTTTTCATTCTAATGCATTTATACACATTCAATTCTGATAGTTTTATCTATTAATTATACTTTTAGATATGATTTCAATTTATTTTTTTTATTATTTGTTAAAGTATATCTTTGTATATTAAAGTGTATCTTTGTATATTATCTTTCGTAATATTTTTTATAATTATTATTTTTACAGTTTCATAATATAAGAAAATACATCTATAAAATCTTTATGGCCTAATGTATTATAGATTGAAAGAGTTCTTATTATAAACTTTTAATATTTTGTATTAAACCAAACATATAAAAATGAACAGAATAGAAAGCAGTTCAGATAATGGAAGTGGTTGGCATGAATGTGTTAAATGGTTAACAAGATGTGGAGCTTTAAGAGCAGATCATAAAGCAAATTGGCCAGAGGCTACTGCAGTGGATTTAGCATATACATTAAGAGATGGTGTGCTGCTATGTAATCTTTTAAATACAGTGGATCCCGGTTGTATAGATATGAAAGATGTAAACCAAAAACCACAGATGGCACAATTTTTATGTCTAAGAAATATAAAAGTATTTTTATCAGCATGTTCAACTATATTTGGATTAACTGATTCTGAACTTTTTGAACCTTCTATGTTATTTGATCTGTCAGATTTTCTTCGTGTATTACGTACTTTATCAGCTTTATCAAATTGTTCTCGTTTAAGACGCAAGGGTATACTGTAAGTAATTTGTTACCATACAATTTTTTATTCATAAATTATATTATGTTAGCAATAAGCAAGTTTTAAAAAAATATATTTATTACAGTGGATTTTCTATAAGTCATGGTAGATCACAAGAAGATATTTATAAAGATTTACAAAGTGCTGGTGCAGGGTAAGCATTTAAACTTCTAAATTTTGTAAATTCTAAATTATATTTTGTTCCTGAAGTACAAACAAAATATTTTCTTAAACACGATAGTTTTATAAAGCTATGATAAAAATTGATATGAAAAAATTATTTATGATATTTATAATAACTGTATCAATGGGTTTAGTCCCACAACAGGAGTGGGGACATTTACCATGAAACCTAAGGTTATGGATGTAGATGAATCTCAAGTATATCAGGAATTACTTTGTTTCTCGAGTAATTCTCAACACGACTGGCCTTCCACAGAGAAGGTATCTGTCGTTTGCAACTTAAATGTTTAAAGATTTGCAGTTAAAGTACCAACCATCACTGTATTCAATTAAAAGACAATTTTTACATATATTTATTTAATAAATTATTTATAAATTTTTATTCAAAGATTAACTCAGTACAGTGATACTGGCACTAATTTAATTCTACATAATTTTATTCTACATTTGTTCTAAAATTCTATGTGCTAAATTATATTTATTGTTTGTAATGAAATCTATAGTTGCTGCAAATAGTTTAAGTTTGCAAGAAATTTTATTTTTTTCATGCATGAATAGTGCATGGCTGTTCATATTTTTATGCTAAAGCCGTGAAGATGAAGATCGTCGTAGGAGATTTAGAAGGCGAGAGGGAAATGAAGCAGGTGGAGGAGGCGACAATGAAGATCCCGTTGAAGAAGAAGATGGATATGGAGCATACTGCAGCCATGCTCAAAGTGAAGAAATCTACCAGGACCTTTGTAGTCTACATTTGCCACCTCCTCCATCTGTTGCACAGGTCGTTAAATATTTATATTTTTTATATACAGGCAATCATCAAAAATTCATTTTAATATTATAAATTATAGCTAATAATTAATTTTGTTATGCTTCATGGTATTTCATATTTCACATTATTGTATTTGTTACAAAAAAAAATTTTTAATCAATTTTTATAAACAGGATGGAGCAATTTCTGGAGGTGAAAAAAGGGATTATGTAATTCAAGAACTTGTTGAGACAGAACGCAATTATTCGGATGTTCTTAATAGTTTACTTAAACATTTTGCTAGACCTCTTTCTTCATTACTGCGACCTGAAGATTCTACACGTATTTTTTTTGGCATAAAAGAACTCGCAGAAATTCATGCCGGTTTTCATAGTCAACTTCGAAAAGCAAGGACCGGTGCTGCTTTAGCGCAAGTTTTTCTCGATTGGCGAGAAAAATTTCTTATTTATGGCGATTATTGTGCAAATCTTACTCTTGCTCAAAACACATTGCAAGAAGCATGTGCGCGTAATGAATTAGTTAACCAAGAAGTTATTGTATGTTTTAAAATATTTATTCTTAATATACAATATTCTAATAAACTTAATGAAAGTGATAATTGCAGAGATGTCAACAAGAAGCAAATAATGGGAAATTCAAATTGCGGGATATTTTATCTGTTCCAATGCAAAGAGTATTAAAATATCACTTATTGCTTGATAAATTAGTAGAAGAAACTCCTTGTGATTGGTTGGAAGATAGACGTCAACTTGCAAAAGCTAGAGAAGTAATGGTTGACATAGCACAATATATCAATGAGGTAAAACGTGATTCAGACACGTTGGACATTATAAGAGATATTCAAGCATCGATAATTGATTGGGATGTACCAGAAGATACGCAATTAAAAGACTTTGGACGATTACTTAGGGATGGAGAACTCAAGGTAGTAAATTTGTTTGATAATTTAAATAATTTAAATATTATTTATAAAAATTAACGAAATATTACTATCACATTTCAGGTAAAAGCTCATGGTGATCAACGATTAAAAGCGCGTTATGTATTTGTTTTCGAACAAGTAGTATTAATTTGTAAAGCAGGCAGAGGAGAACAATATTGTTATCGTGAAACCTTACGTCTTGATGATTATCGATTAGAAGATCACACAGGAAGGCGAACTCTTGGCAGAGATTCTCGATGGTCCTATCAATGGCTGCTGGTCCATAAACAAGAATATACTGCATATACTTTGCATGCAAGAACCGAAGAACAAAAACAAATGTGGATGAAAGCATTACAAGATGCAATGGATAATGTTAATCCTGCCGCGTGTCGCAATACAAATCATAAGTTTAAGCTTACAACATTTAACACTCCACGTAGTTGTCAAAGATGTGGCAAATTTTTAAAGGGCCGAATTTTTCAGGTATAATATTATAAAATTATTAAATATTGTAACATAAATTTATTATTAAATTATTTATTTAAATAGGGATATCGATGTGAAGCCTGTTGTTATGCTGTACACAAACAATGCATTGCACATTCAGGTCGGTGTATGCCAATACCGCCTCCGCCTCCACCTCCACCATCCTTATCATGTGAACGTGCTCTTTCTGTGAAATTATGGTTTGTAGGAGAAATGGGACGTGATACAGCATCAAATAAATTAGAACCTCGTGAAGATGGTACCTATATGTTGCGAGTACGGCCTGCAGGACAACCTCGTTTGAAGCATGAAACTAATTACGCTCTAAGTATCAAGTAAGAGTTTTATATAAATAATATCTTTTTCTGAAATATTTTTTTTATCTCTCGATTTTTTTTTTTTTTTTTTTTTTAATAATCAACCAATATTATAGGGCAGATGGAGCGGTAAAACACATAAGAGTATTTAAACGCGATGTCGATGGTGCTGATGTTTATTATCTCAGTGAATCTCGTTTCTTCAAAAGTGTAGTTGAACTTGTTGAATATTACGAACGGGCATCGTTATCAGAAAATTTTGAAAAATTAGATCAACGTTTATTATGGCCATATAGACGTGTCTTGGCTAAAGCATTATTTGATTTTCGAGGAGGCGAACGCAATCAATTAAGTCTACGACGAGGTTGCAGAGTTGTGGTATTGAGTAAAGAAGGTGATGCCAAAGGTTGGTGGAAAGGAAAAATTGGAGATCAAGTAGGATTCTTCCCAAAAGAATATGTTGAAGAAGAATAACCATATATTATTTAGATATTTCTTTCATGTGATAGCACAGTGATCAAGAATATTTTATATTATTTGCATCATTATGCAATCATAATATGTTATTAAAACAATTCTTAATGAAAAAAAAAGAGAAAAAAATTATAATATAATGCATTTTTATATTATAAAACAAAGATATATCTTCACACATTGGTATAAAAATACAATTTATTTTGTTGTTCTCTTTATTTGAGATTGTATCACAAATATATAAATAGAAAATTTATATTCATATACGGGAACTGAACGCATAAAAGCAAATATATATTCAGCTATTTGTATAGACAAAAAAAATTATAACTATTTTCGATATAATATAACAGTACGAATAAAAATATAAAAAATCATAAAGATTAAAGTTGTCTATTGTATATTAGAATCATACAAAAAAATATCGCTAAATATTCATATTTCTAGACAACTTTCTTCTTTATGACTATATTTTAAAGTCAATTGCCAAGACTCAATTGTATATACCATAATTCTGTACTGTTGATGATACAAATTTTAGCTATTTCTTAAATAACATATACATACATAATTATAAATAATCAAACGCTACATGTATTATTGTAAGAAATTAATTGTACTATTTTTTTAATTGTTACACATCTTCTAATTGTGCCAATAAGAAAAATCAATAAAATTTAGATCTTATCGAAACGTTAACATAAAAATACAATATTTATATATATTTAAAGTTCTAATTTATGCTTTTTATTGGCATATATAATAGTACCTACTTTTTGTTCTAGTCTTTTACAGCCAGTAGTTGCATAAATATTATGTGGAGGTGGTCCAAAGATCACATATGATAATGCTTCTTCTATCATCTCATTAGTAGGATGTATTCCTCTATCTATGAAAAGTTTGTTTAAACATTTTTTCACATGAACTTCTTCAAGTGGTAAAAAAGGTATATAATGATCTATAACATTAGAATCTATTGTATCACTATGGTAGAAACCACCCCTTTCATTAAATGCTCCAACACTTATTAAATTTTCAAAATCTTGAAGCTTAGTTGTATGCCTCTGTCTGCCTTCCTCCCAAAGTGTTAATAAACGTTGCGTAATTCGTGAACTACCTGTATTAGATAAAAATATGTAAATTGCTTTCCTTGCATTTATAGAATTTGCAAGTCTCCATGATTTGACCCATGTATTATAATCCAAAAATGGTACAAGAACATTCAGTACACCTTCTGGCATTTTATCCACTTCATCAAACACAAACATGGATCTTTCACATTTTTGTAAACTATTAATAATAATTTTGTACAATTCATCCTGTGTAGTAAAATAATATATCATCATATTTACATTAAATTTATGGATATTACTTTCAAAAATAATTTTATAATAACAATAGAAATATACCTTATATTCATTTACTTTATCTTGCAGAGGAAAATCATTACGACCATTAAAAAAATGATAAAATTTACTTTGATCACCCTTTTTATAAAGAAACTTAGCAATCATTTGACTTATGTAAGTTTTGCCAGTTCCTGGTGGACCATGAAAGCTCATAACTAAAGCTTTTGAAGGATTATTTGAAGTTAAATGTGCACGTAAAGCATTTATAATTACATGTTGAGCCATTTCTTGACCATAAAGTTCTTTATTAAAAATTTCATCTAATTCTAAAATTGTCACTTATATATACAAATTCTAACACAAATAACCTAAAACGTTTAATTTTTTACTAAATATACATACTATCAATGTCAGAGAAAATATATTCGTTCGTACAACATTCCACAAAATTACATTGTATATTTTCTATTATGGAACCAATTTTATTAAATCCAGATGTTAAAAATGTAAATGAAAATTCACATTTTAAACAAATAATTAACAAAATATCGATGTACACGGAAAAAGTGCCGGCAAGATTCATTTTATATATTGCTAGTTAATTGAGTGTAAAATTAATTGTATTTCATAAAATTTAAACATTACTTGCCGAAGCTGAAATAAAATATTAAAAATTATTTATTATGATACCAATTTATATAAAAATGTTTGTTAATATTATATATTGTTTAAAGAATTGCATTTAATATAAACATTAATATTCTAAAAAATTATTATGCCATAACTATCAATTCAAATACTCAACAGAAGAAATGATTTCCTATTGGTTTTTATTTATGATATATGTAGTTTTTAATTCAATTTAATTTTATAATAATTAATTATAAATATATATGTACAATTAAATTAATTTACATTTTTTAATTTTAAATTTTATATTATATTATTGCATCAATAAATATTTTTTCGCAATAAATTCATTTATCATAATAAACAATAATTTTTTAAATTTTATAAATTTATAATATTATATAACATCTAAATATTTATTACATATTCAATTTATTTAAAAGCATATATTTATATTTTTATCAAAGAAGTATTTACAGTTTTTAATATAAAATTATTATTATATTATTTAGAATTTAAATTATTTATTAACTGAAAGAATAATTCATAAAAACATAATTTTTAAAAAAGAAAAAATTATATAGCTTTTTTTTATTGTCCAATATTATTACGTATAAGTATAAGACATAACTTACTTACTAACGGATTCATTGAATTCAGACTACAATTACACTCATAGTTAATATAGGTGCGGAATAAAATTTTTTATATTTTCTAAACGAAATTTAATATAACAAATTTTTAGCGATATATCATTCAATATATTCAATATTTTATTCATTTCTTTCAGTGATATCTATATAATATTCATATATCTACTATAAAATATTATCTACTGTAGAAGAATAAATATGGCGTCTGAGAATAGTACTGTTGATACCGCTTATACTAAATTTTACACGCGGGAAGAAGTTGCTAAGCATAACAATAATACAGATTTATGGTTTATCATTCATAATAAAGTTTATAATGTGACTGAATTTACAACTGTAATTATATATTTTATATTTTTTTTTATTTGATATTCGACATATACTTTACAGAAGTATGTATAAAAATTGTTCATACCTTAAATTTAAGCATCCTGGAGGAGAAGAAGTACTTTTAGAACAAGGTGGTCAAGATTGTACGGAAGTCTTTGAAGATATTGGACATTCAAGTGATGCAAGAGAATTAATGGAGAAATTTAAAATTGGAGAGTTAGTAGAAGTATGTGTAGGATTTAATAATTTTATATTTGTTGATATAATTTTTGTTTTATTTATTATTATGTTTACTTATGTTTACTATAGGAATAAACAAATTATTAATTTTAGGAAGAAAGAACACAAGAAAATAATGAATTTACTGAAGTATCTGAAATAAATGGTTCTAGGTATAAAATTTTATATTTAATTATTATATTATTATATATATTATTATTAACCATAGTATTACAAGTATATAATTTTGCTACTAACATCTTTTCTGCATTGGTGTTGGCATATCTGTTACTATTTAATAACTTATATTCATTGAATAGCACATTTGAAAATTTAAGTTTACAAATCATCAATTTATCATTCTTGTAACAATATAATTATATATTTTTTTTATATATTAATAATATATATTATATTATTAATATATAAAAAAAAATATACATAATAATATATATTAATATATATTATAATTTTATATATTAATAATTATCTTATATATTTCCTTATATATCATTTTAAAAGTATGCTATTCAAAATTTATAATGTTATTAAAATTCAAAATGTATAATATATAAATAGTCAATGCTGCATCGTAACATGATAATTGGCAGTTGCAGTGGTGCTTGGAGATCATGGCTGATTCCTATTGCTCTTGGGGTTCTGGCGACTCTTGTCTACCGTTACTTTATTAAAGTACATTAAAGCATTCCAAATATTTATTTTCTTTTTTTGTAATTTGTATTATATATACAAACATTTATTATAAATAATTAATCAAAGAATATTACATATATTGCACACAATGATAGTCTTGTTTTATGACTTGAAATTGCACATATAAACTGGCCTAACATAAAAACAATTATAAAATAAAAATTCATTTGTTATATTGAAACTCTAAAATATTCAACATATACATGTTTATGAGTTTCATATATATGTAACTAATATGAATATATATGTATATATATATATATTAATTACAAGTACAAAAATGAATTAAATTCATTTACAAATTAATTGAATTTATTTTGAAATAAAAGATTAAGAATTGATTTAAAAAGAAATATATTTAAATATAATATATTTAAAAAATACAATTTTTTGAAAATTAAATTTAATCACTTCTAAAATTTTTTTTGTATTCATAAATTACACTTAAAAAATACATGCATACAAAAAAAAACAAATATTGTTTAAAAATATTGAAGAAATATTTAAAGAATTCTTAACATTTGAAAATTTACCTCTATATATATGTATTTAAGATCAGTTTATATATATAATTTTACAATAAAAGATTTTTATTTTTATACTATTATGAATATTATGGTATTATATTATGAAAATTAAATTGTTAAATTTTTGTTGTAAAACGTTATATGTATAAAAATATTCTATTTCTAACATTGTATTTAATAATTCAATAATTAATTTTTTATAAAAGTTTGTATATTTTCATGTATGTATTGCTATAACATAATAAAAGCATGATCTTTTTACATTATTTTATAGGAAAAAGTAATTTGTTAAAATGTACATATGATCTATAATTGCAAGTAGAATTATGTAATTAATAATATTGAATTTACTTTACAAATATGTTCTTATGATTTTATAATTTATAGAATAATTTAAAAAATGAAATAATATTATTACATATAGTATTTATCGTTTTTATTTTATTATCTACTATTGATACAATTTTGGATCTCAACTAATAAAATTTTCTTTTCCTTTCATTATTCTTAAATTAATTCTAAAAATATAATTAGAATTTCCTTTATTAGAATTCCTTATTAATTATATTTTAGTGATAATATATCTTTTATAATGTTATATATATCAATAAAAGATTATATCAATATTACTATTTTTATAATTTTTAAAAAATCAAATATATTTTAAACTTATCATAACGTATTTTTTATATATACATATACATGTAACTTTATCAATTTATTTTAAAAAATTATAGATATAATTACATACAAATATGAATAAAAAATTACATATATACATATATAAACATATAAAAAATCTTTTATTTATTATATATAAATATTTTATATTATATATAATAGAAATGAAAAATAAAAAATACTTAAAATATCAAATAATAAATTCATAGATATCTAATAGAACTCGAAAGACAGAAAACGATATCGAGCGAATTTGAGCGCCGACGCTAGACGCTCATGCTACTATCTTCGTTTCCCTGTCGCACTTCCAATTTCCCCTTCCCGACCTCGTTCCTGTTCGTTCTTTGGCGGGTATGTCTCCCTCTGTCGAACACCCAGTTCATCATCAGAGGTGGATCGGTGCTGGTCGTGTCGAAATATTATAATCATATAAAAGATACGCAAATTTGTGTTGATTATATTGATGTAATTGAAGAAATTCAAATTTAAAAATATTTAATTTGAAATTAAAAGAATTATTTCGAACAAATTATTATTGTTTAAAATCTAAAGCAAAAGTAAGGGCGTACATAAAAGTCGCCCACTGAAACGCAAATTAGAAATTTGCGAGCGAATTTAGCGCAAAAAACAAGCAGACGGCGGGCCGAAGACAGCTGTATACGGCAGAGACAGTGGTTATTTCGAAAAGTCGGCGTGGTGTCATGAGAGGCGGTCTCACAGTCCGCCCTTTTTATCGGTCCCTTTTAGAGTCATGCATGTCGCGCCCTTCAAACGAGGTAAATGAAATTTTTCATTATTTAATATTATTTTTCATTATATCATAATATTTGATCTCATGAAGAAAACAATCACATATTTGTAATTGGTAAAATTCGCGCGCTTTTTTATTTTCATCAGAATGTTCATTCATAAATACGACTTCCATTCTTAAAGAAATCTTTTCATTGACTGTTGTTACTGAACAAAATCTATTATTAACAATTGTATATATTTTTTAAATCAACAATTTTAAGAGTTCAATAAAAATGATTTTAAAATGACATTAAATTATAAACGCATTCGTAATACGATGCAATCTAATAAAAAAGTAACAAGTTTTTTTATTTTTAATTTAATAGATCGACCAAAAAAATAAGTATTTATTAAAAAAATATATATTATTTTACGTTAAATATCATGTTGATAGAATTTTTTTAAATTTTTGTTAAAAAAGTACAATTTAATTAACAAATAAAATTTTTATTAGTATATATTTATATATTATAGTATTATATATTATAGTATATATTTAGTACATACAAAAACAGGATGTACCGATTGGTTTTTATAAAATTCTTTATATTTTTCTTTTATATAGATATTAAAATACAATACATGGAAATATATCAAAAAATTTCATCTCATATTGCAAAAATAAATATATGTGCAAAGAAATAAAAAAATATTTTTACAACGAATGTATTATTTGTTAGAAAAAAATTATTTATTTTTTAGAAAAAAATATTACTTTTTTACTTTCTCTGATTTTACATTTATTAATACATATCAAAACAATTATTAATGAACTAAATAAAAAATTCATTTAATATTTAACATACGTATTTAACATACAGATTTTTTGAAAAATTCAATAATCATTCATAATTAGCGCTAGCGATTTAATAAACTGTTCAATAAACTGTAATCGAAAAAAACAATGATATCAAGTATAATTAATACGATCAAAGAAAATAATGAGACATTATTTTAAAATTGAAAAATGCTAACTCAAAATCCAAAGAATTGCATCATTCTATGAAATAAGAAATATACATATTCGAATATATATTGGTATAAAATTTTTAAGAGTTGTCAAAAATATCTGCGTTTTCTATTTAAAAATCATAATTATTAAATTAAATTAATTTAGTAATACTTGTTAATATTTCATTTATACGTCCATATTTTTATTTAATTTTACTACAGAATGGAATCAAATTTCCAAGTCCACTTCGATGTTAAATCTAGCCCATACGTGTATTTTAAGATATTTTGCGCAAGTGGTTTTTCGTTTCCGTCGCAGAAAGAAATTTATAGTTTGTTAAGCTTAGCTACCATATCTTATTGTGTTAATGAAACAATCAATAGATCCAGACGATAATTTTCAAGTTAATGAAAAGAACTATTGACTATATGAAAAGTTATTTTTTTTATTAGAGACATATATTCACATATAATCATAAAGAGCATTAGAGAATATTCATCGTTAAAAATCTTGATATTCTTTTTACGTAAAATTTATTTTTAACATTTCCTTATGAATACGTGTTGCGAATTGTCTGTCTACAAATAGATGAACAACGATTTCTTAAAGAACTGTTGAACGAACAGACAGCGATAAGTACTCTACAACACGCGTATTCCATTTAAGCCAATTATAGTACTTTCTATGCAAACCAATGCTTCTTTGTCTTCTTCGTGGTGTTCGGTTACTATCTTAGTTAGGTCGTATTCGAAGCAGAGTTGATTTTATCATAAAATTTTGTTATTCAAAACATTAGAGTACAGTTATTGAAATTTTATTCATAATCTTTTAAAAAATGTTCATAATTATAAAAAATGAACGCACATCATATGCACAAAGCGCATTTCATTAGATAGTTAAGTTTCGAAAATCTTAAATAGTTAAGTTTAAAATCTTTAATAATTTCATTTTTCGATTTTTCATATAGAATATTTGTATAAAATATAAAAAATTCTTCTTCTATAGAAATTGAATTTTATAAAAATTATCTTTTCGAATTGGAATTTTATATAAAGTAAAACAGTTAAAAATTATCTTTCTTCCTTGGAATTATGAACAATAGCAAGTTTAACGATCGATAGTGTAAAACGGAAACCATTGACCAATGTCATATGATTATAAATCGACAGCTTTACACGAACAATTTTACAGTTTAACGTTGTGAGCAAATTGACCGTTCTTCATCATAATTTACGTAACAGAATGACCAAGTATTTAATTTTAAATATAGCAAGCACACTTCAGAATATTGTCATAACTTTGAACTTGATGAATTGAAAAATATATATACGATTGAAAAAATGATTTAGATTTGATATTCTGATTATCTCTCAACTGATTTAGAATAAATATTCAACTTAAAATAAATTATTAAGGATAAAGAATTGTCGATTCTTAAAATTTGATACAATTATTGAATAACTTCTTAATATGAGATCTTGATATTAAGAGTTAAATGGTATTGAAAATTATTTCAAATTATGACTCATTTTTTTCTTATTTTTTCTATAAATGTTATACATAAATGTTATTCATAATAAAATTTTTGTCTTCTATTTTTTTATGTTCATTTTACAATCTATTTAACGTTTACTTGTAGACAAAATAATCTTTCATACAAGACAAAGATCGGTTTCTTTCGCGCACGAACAATCAATTAAACGCAATTGGATCATTATGACAATTTATCACAATAGACATTAACACGGTTTAGAATAAATATTTAAAACATATATAATATATAAGTAATAAAGATCCTGATATAAATGACAAAGAATTACGAAAAGTATAATTCAAATATAATTTACATTATATATCTACATCATACTTTGCAAACGCTTATATCAACATATCTTATTACTAATTCGATGAATTTTATAAGCTAATAGGTAATACGTCATCAGGCGAGTATAATGATTATTTTAAAGAGTTTATATCATTTTATATCTTTATACTTGATTCATTTAAAATTATTAAACTAACTTCCTCTACATGTAAAGCAATTATAAGATAAGATTTGAAAATAATAGAGTAGAAATAAAAACAATTTCTATTAAACAAGTTCAAATTACATCTCACATGTAATGTATTGCATGATTTTCATTTAAAGAATTAACAATTATTGTTTTAAATAAATGTTGTATTTTTAAATTTAATGTTTCTATCTTTATGTTTTATTTTATTTTATTTTATATATATATTTACGCAGTGCTTTAGAAAATAATGTCGAGCGCGCACGTCTTCAATATTGCATCATTCTTTCGTAGATTAACAATTAAAAATCTAAATACTTTAGTTATAAATCTTGAAAGACTTTTATTACTATTTGAAGTATCGATAAATTCAATTTTAATTGCATTTCTCATGAACGACCTTGTGTACTGACAGTATTTTATATTCAATATTATATTAAAACAGTTGTATAAATATATTTATATTAGTATATTGCCACATAGCAATAATATAGTCAGCATTTTTTACCACTTTCATCGTTATATAGATATTTAAAATGCTTATGGATAAAGAAATTGCAAACGAAATAAAAATTGAATCGATTCATAAATTCCATAAAGTTTAATTAGTCAAATTTTTAATATTTTTGATGATCTTGAATAAATTAAAAAAAAATGAAATGCAATTTATTATTATCATCATTTTATCAATAAATTAAATAAAATATTTTAAATATTTTTAATATAAAAAAAAATACGCCTATATATTTACATATTTTAAATGATTCACTTCAGAAGAGAAACCCGAATTCTATTTTAAGATAGACAATATTAAAATCTAATACAGAGCATTAAATTGTTAATGTAGATGCGTTGTTAACAAGAAAATCGATAATTTATCGAAAGGTCACCTTGAAGATGAAACCACGAACGCTTTATGTGGTAGAGGTTCGGTTGAAAGAATACAACATATCTAATATCTGCTTATATCTATAACTGTCACGCGCTTAAGGGATTATTAAAAAATAATATAAATTAATAATAAAATAAATATAAATTAAACTTTTTTATTTTCAAAGAGATTTATAATCCTTTGATATTCAATATCGAAATTGTTAATTTTAATTATCAATCTATATCCTATGTCTAGATAGATATAGGATAAGAAATTGATATTAAATAATTTATTAAAAAAGATAATGAACTAAAAATACTTTATAAAAAAGATAAGGATATCAATATCAAAGAGAAAATAAGCGCGTAAAAATTCTGAGAAATACATTTGTATTTTATGGTTTATATATGTACACTAAACGTGTGAAGAAAACAGACTGACCTCACTTGATCACGAGAAATCTTTGGCATCTAGCCATGCAAACTATTATGGCAACAGTACTTTGGTTATAATACAATAATATTTGTTGTGTGATGACATAAATATAAAATCAACGACTTGACGCTTTTTAGATCGCCACAGTACTTCGTAGTATGCTAATGTGTTTTATTATTAAAAGAAAACAGTTCGATAGTATCGTGATTCTCAATGTATTATTATTTTGAATAATTAATCGTTTTATGATAATTTAAACACTTCATTTATTTGTTTAAGTGAATTCTTTTAAAAAATATTTTTTTTTTTTTTTTTTGCTTCGTTAAAAAGAGAGTAGAGTTACAAATTAAAAAAAAAAACATGTACATTTAAATATTCTTTTTATTAATAAATATTAGTTAATGGCAAAACAAAATATTTATTATATTTTTTCGCAAAAGTTTGTATTATTTACAATTAATAGAGAATTTGATTGAAATTGTCGATAATAAAGTCCGATGAATTATGTACGAAGGTAAATTCAATTTTTATAAATTTTTAGTTCGATAGACGATATAATATAATTATAACATAATTTACTAATATCACATATTTATATATTTAAAAAATTAATACATAAGAATAAGAAAAAATATAATTAAGCAAACTAAATTATTTCAGTTACCGTGGGACATGATCCACAGACAAGTAATGGTAATCAGTCGCAACAGCAATTACAAGGCAGTGGATGGAATGGAATTCCAGAAACAACATTGGTCTCTCGATCAATCAGAAGCAACGGCAACAGCAACGGCTGGAACCCAATTACATCGCCGTTCCAACGTCAACCGGAACAACAACAGCTACACGAACGGAAACAGAAAGAAATTAAATCTGGGGATCTGGGCGATGATGAAGACGGGGGTGGAGGGGGTGGAGGGCTGGAGGGGACGGACCCAGAGGAGAACAACTCTGTTCACCTCAAGAGACGGGTGGGACTCGTCAGTGGGGTGGCTCTAATCGTTGGTACCATGATAGGTAGCGATTTATACGATTTCAGTAAAATCTTAAATACGGTTAACTGAGAATAGTTTAGTTTCTCAAATTCTTCTTCTTATTATTCTTCTTCGTCGTTCATTACAAAACGATAGGTTCTGGGATATTCGTTTCGCCGTCAGGGCTTTTGGTTCGAACCGGCAGTATCGGAATCAGCTTCCTCGTATGGACGGCCTGCGGCATGTTGAGTCTGTGCGGTGCGTTAGCATACGCCGAGCTGGGTACGATGAATACGAGCAGCGGCGCCGAGTACGCTTACTTTATGGACGCATTCGGTGCACCACCTGCTTTCCTCTTCTCGTGGGTTTCCACTTTGGTCTTGAAACCATCTCAAATGGCAATAATCTGTTTGTCGTTCGCACAGTATGCGGTTGAGGCCTTTGCGGCCGATTGTGATCCACCCGAGGAAGTCGTCAAAATCGTTGCGCTTCTGGCGATCATACTTATATTATTAGTAAACTGTTACAGCGTTAATCTGGCCACAGGTGTACAAAACGCGTTTACTGCAGCCAAATTGATCGCCATACTTGTCGTAATTGCCGGTGGCTCTTATAAGTTGATACAGGGTAATACGCAGCATCTCAAAGGCGCTTTCGATACATTCGACGGTAGTACCGTTAATATAGGCAGATTAGCCACTGCTTTTTATACTGGTTTATGGGCGTACGATGGATGGAATAATCTCAATTATGTCACTGAAGAAATCAAAGATCCTTCGAAAAATTTGCCACGTTCTATTATGATTGGTATACCTCTCGTCACGCTATGTTACGCATTGATAAATGTTTCTTATCTAGCCGTAATGTCGGCTTCGGAGATGATTGAAAGCGAGGCTGTTGCAGTGGTAAGATAAATTTTTAATATTTTTTTTTTTTTGTTAAAAATAAAACAAATATTTCTATTTTGCAATTTATATCTCAACAAAATTTGAAATATGTAACAAAATACGAATTAATGTTGTAGACTTTCGGAAATCGAATTCTTGGCGTTATGGCATGGCTTATGCCACTCTCGGTTGCGATTAGTACTTTTGGTTCCGCAAATGGTACTCTTTTCGCAGCAGGTAGACTTTGTTTCGCGGCATCTCGAGAAGGCCATTTACTCGACTGTCTTAGTTATGTGCATGTGCGACGTTTTACTCCTGCACCTGGACTTATTTTTCATTCCCTCGTTGCAGGTACATCCATCTTATTCTTGATATATATATATATATATATATATTTATATATTGTACTACATATATAATGAAATATTTTTATTAATTAGGAGCGATGGTAATATCTGGAAACATTGATTCCTTGATCGATTTTTTTTCATTCACTGCTTGGATCTTTTATGGTGGAGCAATGTTAGCTCTATTGGTGATGCGAAGGACCAGACCGAATCATCCACGACCATATAAATGTCCGCTGATAATACCTGTCCTCGTACTTGGAATTTCTGCGTACCTGATTATAGCGCCAATCATTGATAAACCTCAAATTGAATACTTGTATGCGGCTGGATTTATATTAGCGGGCATGCTTGTCTACCTCCCGTTTGTTAAATACGGATATGTGCCCAAATTTATGGGTAAATATTAAATTCATTTAAAAATATTAACAAATAATACCGAAAAAAAAAGATTATTTATTAAAAGATTATTTTTTTATTTACAGAAGGAGTGAATGCTTTCCTTCAAATGTTACTCGAAGTTGCACCAACAGCTGCAGCTTTTGATTAACTTCAATCAAATGCAAAAGCATGATTTTTTAAATGCCAAATCATTCCATTTTATGGCATAGTAAACATAATATGAATATCTATTTTAAATATAAATAGATAAAGATGAATAGATAAATATATCCTCTCATTAAAGCTCAAGGCTGGCCCAAATGAATTCACAAATATATAAAAATATTATTTTATTACTTGTTATAATATATATTGTCATGTATACAATACATAAAATACATTACTGTTAGATAATTAGTTAATGTTGTAACTATTAAACAAAATAACTAAAAATATTTTAAATGTTTATGGTTAATATTTTATTAAATTTTTTAATTTTTATCCAATAATTAAATATTTCCTTACTTACTATCCAATAATTAAATATTTCCTTATTTTCCTTATTAAGAAAATTTATTTAATTTTTTTATTCAAAGTTTTCTTATTTATTTTTCCATACATTCTTAATAAATTATTAGAACTTTTCCTATGAACTTTTTTAATTTTATGATTTATCAAACTTTTTTCAAGACCTGATACAAATTTTAAATTTTTTTGTTGTGTTTCTTGTTTTCTTTCATGTTTCAATATTTTATAATTAATCCCTTTTTTCTTTGGAGGTTTTGCTCCTAAACTTATAGCAAGAGCAATTTCTGCTTCTTCTGCTTCTATTCCTTTGAAACCAGACATACCAAATTTCATAACCTCATATTTGATACGTTTCATTTCTAATTCTTTTTTCTTTTTTTCATCATTATTTTCATTTTGTTCATTTTTTGTTATATTAAATTTAAAATTTTGTATATCATTGTTTTCTTTACTTTTAATTATTTCTTTTTTTTTTTTCGGCTTTTCATAGTTTACCGACACGAATTCCTTTACAGCATCTTTTTTTATCCTTGATACTCGTGTAGGAATAAAATCTTCCATTATAAAATACTAAAAGAATAATTATTAATATCATATAATAATTAATTTGATTTTAAAATTAAAATTTTAAATTTAAGTATTCATAAATAAATAATATAATACTTAAGAAATTATTACTTACTTTTTACGAGAAATTCTTTGTTTATTAAAAATAATAAATTTTAATCGATTAAAAAAATTAGATTTTTTAATTAGATTTATATATTATTACTTTAATGTCTAAATAATATTATTATACTAAATAAATAATAATTTTCACGATATTATATTTGATGCTTTATGTTATGTTTCATTTATACTACTTACAATCTTAACCTTAATACATCATAATAATTAACCTCGATAACAATCATAACCTCTACTATACTTTAAGAAAGATATATATATATATATATATATATGTACTTCTTTAAATATTAATTATTATTATTTTATATATATATATATATATATATATATAATATAAAAATAATTGTTACGTACAATGGAAGAATATCCACCTATTAATATTCGTTTAGCAGTAAACAGAGCCGATTTAAATTTATTAAAAAATAAAGATATACAACCTCGAATATATACTCCTGGAGAAGAAATTTCTAGTCAATCTGATTTCTTAAGGTAAACTTATATTATTTAACTTATATTATTAAACTTATATTATTTAACTAAATATTATTTATTTTAAATTTAAAAAAAAAATTTTAATTTTTTTTTATTTTTATTATTATTATAGAGGACATGGAACATATGTAGATGACGAAAATACATTACGTGCATCTGTAGCTGGTATTTTAGAAAAAGTAAATAAGCTTATTTCGATAAAACCTTTAAAAGCACGTTATCAAGGTGAAATAGGAGATGTAGTTGTTGGACGTATAACTGAAGTACAACAAAAACGATGGAAAGTTGACACAAATTCCAAACTTGATTCTGTATTATTACTCTCCAGTGTTAATTTACCAGGTGGAGAATTGGTATGATACAAATATTAAATTTCATGTTTAAAAAAAATTTTTTTAAAAATAAATACACTTTTAATTATTAAAAATGTTTTTGGCATGTAATTTATAGAGAAGAAGATCAGCTGAAGATGAACAAACTATGAGACGTTATCTTCAAGAAGGAGATTTAATTTGTGCAGAAGTACAAAGTACTTTTGTAGATGGTTCTCTTTCATTACATACTAGAGTTTTAAAATATGGTAAATTATCTCAAGGTATAATGTTAAAAGTTTCACCAGCTCTTATAAAACGGAAAAAGACACATTTTCACACTTTAGAAAATGGTGCAAGTTTAATATTAGGAAATAATGGTTATATATGGATTGGAGCTAGTAGACAAGATACTGATAGATCAGAAGGTGGTTTCACACAGGACTTATCAAGAATTCCTCAAGTAAACCGTGAAGTTTGTGCACGATTACGTAATTGTATTTTAATTTTAGCACAATGTAATATCCAACTTACAGATACATCTGTTACATATGCTTATGAAGAATCTATGAAATATAAAGTAAATGAATTATTGGAACCTGAAGTAATGATTGATATATCATTACTAACTCATCAAAGATTAATTCAGTAATTCATTTTGTTTTGTTTTTCTATATTTGTATATTGTTTAACAAATAAATGAATGAAAGAAATTTATATATATATATATATATATACAACAATAAAAATTTTAGAAACTTTTTTTGAATTTAATTTTATTAGAAGTAAAAAAAATTTAATGATCACATATGATACTCAAATATTTATAATCAAATAATCTATTGTTTTTTTTATCTAATGACAATTATATCATCTGTTAAAAATCTATATTATAATTCAACAATAATCTATTATTTCCATAATATATTAATAATTATACCGTATATCTGTTAAAAACTCATTAAAATTTTTGCATTCATGCAATATTTTTTCAAATCAAATTATAAGATATTATTAATATATACTTGATAGATATTGTATTGTAATGTTATGCATAAATATAAATACAAAAACAAAATATTGCAATATGATTAAAGTTAAATATTGTATAATTAAAATTAAATAACAATTTAATTGATATACCCTTCAACAGTTTTAAACTTAAAAAGTAATATATAATAATGTATATCATTAATGCAAGTATTGATTAAATAAGTAACTTGGAAACAACAAAGTTACACCAAAGAAACATGGATGCATGTTTTACTGCATTTGATAAAGATGGAGATGGATATTTATCTATTACAGAATTTGAATTTATTTGTCGTGCACTATTTCGCAATGATCGTGGAAAAGTATATAATGTTGAAGAAAATCAATTAAAAGAAATATATTCAGTATTTGACTTGAATGGAGATGGAAAAATTGATAGAGAAGAATTTGAAGTATTTATATATTTATAATTATTAAAATGATTATTAAATTGTATAAAATAATTTTTAAATAAAGTCATTTTGTTTTTAATTTGTAGATATGTTGGAACCGTTGGATTAAAATATGCACCCGTCCAAAGAGTGCATTTTTAATTGTGGATGTTCAAAACGACTTTATAACAGGTTCTTTAAATATTAAACAATGTGCTGCACAACATGATGGTTCAGAAGTAATTGACCCAATTAATCGTTTATTGGAAACTGTACAATTTGATGCAGTATTTTATTCTCTTGATTGGCATCCTATAGATCATGTATCTTTTATTGATAATTTACATCTAAGGTAATTTGATTTAATTTAATTAATCATTATATTTTTATAATATAATTTATAAATTTATTATTTTTTTACAGAGAAATTGATCCCAGTAGTGGAACCTCAAAAGAAACAGCACAAGTTTATGATACTATAACATTTAGAGGTCCACCATTATTAAAACAACGTCTATGGCCTCGTCATTGTATTCAAGATTCTTGGGGTGCTGAACTTCATAAAGATCTGAAAATTATAGATAATGCAATTAAAATATATAAAGGAACTAATTCAGAAGTAGATTCATATTCAGTCTTTTGGGATAATAAAAAGATGATGGAAACAAGTTTATCTTCACAATTACAAGAAAAAGGGGCAACTGATATATATATATGTGGATTAGCCTATGATGTTTGTGTTGGAGCTACTGCTGTAGATGCACTTACAAGCGGTTATCGGACTATTCTCATTGATGATTGTAGTCGAGGAGTAGATCTTGTTGATATTGAAAAAACTAAAGCTACTGTTATAGCTAATAATGGAGTAATTGTAAATTCAAGTCAAGTAAAAGCAATGGTTGAAGGAAAAGATCGCCGACCAGAACTTGGATATAAGTTAGCTATAGAAATTAAACAAAAATTAACTTTTGTAGATGACGATAATCAGTAATTTTATTTTCTTGTAATTTAAAAAATAGTACAAAATGTTATACGAACATTAGATAAATTAATATAATATTTTATATCAGAGTTTTTGCTTTTTTAAAAAATATATTTATAAAATAATTTAAAATTAGAATAAATTATTTTGTGCATTAATTATAATTATAAATATTAATTTTATATCTTTTATAATCATATTTTCTATTATTTAAAAAGAATACCATAAATTGAATATTAGTATAAGATTTTTCCGGATTGAAAATTAGTAAATATTTTGAATTGAAAATTAAAAAAAGCGAGAAAAAATAATAATGACAGTATAAAATAGAAGTAGAAAAAATATGTGCAAATATATAATTGTATTTTATTATATTTTATTTTTGTATTGTTTGAGTAAAATAGTTGCAAAGATTTGAAAAAAAAAGTTTAAGAGAGTTATCATATCACATTAATATTGCATTAATTTGAACATTAAATACTTTATTAATAAAATGATATTATTTTCCAATACATTCATAGTACTTTTCTTTTAATTTTTTTCAATATGTTTAAATTTATTAGTGATTATAATCGACATATATAATATTATATTATTATATTTTATTATAATTTATTTCAAATATATATTAAAAAAAGAAAGAATATTATATAATTATTCCATAAGATTTAATATAAATTATAAATATTAATAAACATATTATAGATTTATAAAGATTCGGAAAATATTCAAAATAAGATTCGATATTTTTTATTTCCAATAATGTTCAAAAATTTATAAAAATTTTCAATTTCAAATATATTCAATTCAAGTTTGATATTAATATTTTTTCACGAAATTTTTCTCTTTGCAAAATATTTCTTCCCGTTTTTCTTTTAGAATCTAGTTGTTCTGCATCATCCTGATCCAATAATGGATCAAGTTCTATCCATTCGATACTTTTCTCGAAATGTATGAAAGAAATATCATTGCATAGAAATGACATGTACAGAACGAAAGGAAAATGCGTCAAAAAAATAGGATTCTTAAGAAAATTTATGATTTCTTTTCGATACGTTAATAGAGATACAAAATAGTTTACAACTATTTATGAAAGATTTGGAAATTTTCAAGAATATGAATTAATTTTAATCGAAAATAGTTAATTTGATTCGATTTATAATAAATTAATTTTAAAAATTTTCTTCGACTAAAATACGCTTGTTTTTAATGTGCTTTAACTTTCTTTCAATTGATTACCTGATAAATACTTAAATAATATATAAATAATATACAAATAATATAAATAATATGCAATATTATATTTATATTTGATTTCAAAAGTCCGCTTTAATTTTATTTATTAATATCATTAAAACTAAACCTATAATACGTTTACAATGTTCCTAAAGCCGAATTCACACGATGATATAATAGTAGAATATAGCTAAAAACTTTTACTCTATTCTAAAAAAAAAAAAAAGAATTATATAAATTAAACAATAGAAACTAGTACGCATCATATTTAAATTATCTTTTGATTAAAAAATAATATATGATAGAATTAAAACGTAATTATTTTCGAAAAATATATTGTCTCTGAATTATTACTATCAAATCATAATTATTTATTTTTCTTTATTTTCTAATTAAAAACAGCAAAGGCAGATATACGATCGTATGGTAAAAAGTTATTTTTTCTGCATCAATTAAATACTTATATAATACATAAATAATATATAAAATTGTAATATTTTAATTATATCCAGTTTATATCTTGCAATATTATATTTTTAATTTAAATATATATATATACTATAACGTATATATATTTTTATTTTTTAATAAGTTAATAAATATTAATACATTGTTTTAAGTATAAAAAATGCACATAATAAACCATACATTCAAGAAAAAATTTTAGACATCTAGTGGTGGCGGGCTGAAATATTGATATTAGGTCTTATACGTTAGGAAAATATAAATATACATAATAAAAATATATTATAAATAATTCTATAAATTAATATCATTTGATATCATTATTATATAAATAAGGCATGTTTTATCATGTAAGTTATTACCAAGTATAATATATACATAAAAACATGAAATAAATATAATAAAATATTGAATTAGATTCATAATAAAAATTTGTTAAAGATATTAAATACGCATAATTAAATTATTTTATATTTTTACAGATATCATTAGAACATGAAATTTTATTACACCCTAGATATTTTGGACCTCAATTATTAGATACTGTGAAACAAAAACTATATACTGAAGTAGAAGGTACTTGTACAGGAAAGTAAGTTTATACATACATAACACAATTAACAATATATTTATTTAAAAATATTTAATAATAATTAAATTTAATATTTTCTAATTTCAGATATGGTTTTGTAGTTGCTGTAACAACAATAGATAATATAGGTGCAGGAATCATACAACCAGGACAAGGTTTTGTAGTATATCCAGTTAAATATAAGGCTATTGTATTTAGACCATTTAAAGGGGAAGTATTAGATGCCATAGTAACACAAGTGAATAAAGTAAATATTAAATATATTTTTAAATTTTATGAAATTATCTGAAAACTTATATATTATTTCTTTTTTTTAGGTTGGAATGTTTGCTGAAATAGGACCACTTTCATGTTTTATATCTCATCATGTGAGTTATTTTTATATGAATATTTTTATAATTTCAATTTATAAATTAACAAACTTTTTTATAGTCGATTCCAGCAGACATGCAGTTTTGTCCAAATATAAATCCACCATGTTACAAAACTAAAGAAGAGGTAAATATAAAAAAATATATACAATAAAAAAAATTTAGATTAAAAATTATAAATTACAGGATGTAATTATTCAACCAGATGATGAAATAAGATTAAAAATTGTTGGTACAAGAGTTGATGCCACTGGAATTGTTGGTATTTATAATATATAAACTTTCATGTTAATATTCTATATTATATAATATATACTTTATATTTTTTAGTTTGCTATTGGAACATTGATGGATGATTATCTAGGTAAATATTTATTTTATTACTCTAATGATTAATTAAAATTATATTGCTTTTTTTAAAAAATATATTTCTGTTATAGGACTCGTGTGTAATTAAATAAATTATCATTTCAATTTAAATTTTATAAGTTAAATAAAATAAATTTTATTTTTATGCAAATATAGAGTTTATATGTGAAGAATAAAAATAAAATGAAAAATAAATATTTTATTTAATTTCTACAATATAAATTGCTATTTAATTATATACGTCATCAAATACAATATTTATATTTAATTGTATATAAATATTTAATTTTATAAACTATAAATTTATATGCATAAAAACATAGCATTTACAATATTGTTGAATATATTTGAAATAAAATGTATTTCTTTTTTTTAATAATAAATTAATTACAATTCAACAAAATACTAATGTTTAATGCATAAATAATATTATTCTTATATATACATCTAAATACATGACATATATAACTTTATATTTTTATAATTAATAATATATTTTTACACTAGATTATTTTAATCTTTTGAAAATATAAAAAAAAATAATTTGAATAGTAAATAATCTAAATAGCAAATATTTAGATTAATTTGTTATAATTACATAAAGAATGTATTAAAAGATATAATTTCAATATTTATTTATTTTTTTTTTTTACACAGTGCAATAATTTAAAAAATTTTAATAAATTTTCTATTTTATTTGAAGAAATTCAGGATATTGTTTTAACCAAAATCGAACAAAATTTGAATCTAATAAAGCAATAAATAATGCCAATTTTGCTTCAACAGGCATTTTAATTTTTTCTTCTATATTTTGATCAGGCATTGTTTTATCAACAACATGTTTAAATATTTTACCATCATTATTAAGATAAAATGTAGAAAAACCATCATACCACCTATTAATAATCTCAATTATTAATATTATAATATAAATAAAAGAATTCTAATTATTAATATTTTCAATATTAATAAAAATTATAAATGAATACTTACGCTGATTTATTTTCTACCTGTTCTCTTGCATTAAACATTTTAATTTTCCAAAATGTAAGAAATACACGTGTACCAGAGGCACCTACTATACGCCAACGCACTTTAATACTATTATCTTCTGGGTGCATAGTCATTTTTAAAATTTTTAACTTAACATAAGCAAACTTTAAATGACCTACTAATCTTAATAATGCTATTTGCTTAAGATATTGCTCAATACCTCTATAAAACATTTATAAATGTACAATTCCTTTTTAATAACAATATTAATTTAAAAATAATAAAATTTTTTATATTATAAAAAATATTATATTGAAATTTTTATATATTTAATAAATTTTTATATATATAATTTTATATATATAATATTATATATTTATATATTATTATATATATAAATTTTTATATATATAATTTTTATATATTGAAATTTTATATATTTGAAATTTTTATATACTTTAATTATATACTTACACAGTTGTTGTTCCTTTAATATTATTAATAAATATTAAATCTTTTGTATATATTGAATAATTCATTGATTGAACAAACAATAATGGTAACTGAAAGAAACACATTTTGGTGTAATAAAATCTCAAGTTTTATATAATTCCAAGCAATTTCTGTGCACAATATAGAGACATACATCATTACGAAGAACATCAAATACAGATTGTAATTGTGTTTCAAATGATTTACGATCTTCAGAAGTTTGCATTTCATTTACATTTTTTATATTGGGAGAAATTTCTGCATAAAAAATCTTATCCTTTTCAGATTTGAATAAAACATCATTATCAAATATTCTTTTAGCTGGTATCACTTCTCTAAATGGTATATTATATTTATTTTTTAAATGTTCAGGTGAGATTTCCCATTGTATATTCGTTTTTAATACTGACATATATGTTAAATATGAATTGGTTACATTTTGTATTTGACTCTTATTTTGTTTCTGATGATATAATTTAATCATTTGTTGTTTAGTCCAATTATGTTTCTTGTTTAATGCTTTAGAACTTTTAATATTATTAAAGGAAGAAAATAATACATTTTGCCTTGACAAATAAGCCATTGAATTCAAAGGCTTTTTTTTGAAATTTGTTATTGAGTTTGTTTGTGCATCTAAAAACTATAATTAAAGATTATTTTCTTCTTATAAATTAAATATCATAAATATTAAAATATAAACATAAATATAAAATATATGCTATAAATCTTATATATATATAATTATTTATATAACAATAAAGAAATACTTTTATATATATATATATATATATGTGTGTGTAACATATATATAATATGTATATATGTGTAAACAATAACTCAATAATTCTTGTCATTTGCAATTAATTATAATAAATAAAATATAAATGTTTATATTTTCTTAATATACATAAAAATATACACCTATTTATTTTTATTAATTAGAATTTTTATAAAGATTCTAAAATAAATCTATGAGACACTAAGCATAGAAAAAATAGGACAATATCAAATAATAAAATTCTTGCAAGAATTATAAAATATCAAATTATTATGACAAACTATTACATAAGTATATTAAGGTTAACTTATATTTCATAATAATGTGAAATGAAAAGTAAAACAATTTTAAATGACAATAATTAAAATTTTTATTTAAATAAAAATGATTAAATATTGTTATATAAGTAAAGCTATTTACCTCTTCTAAAAACAAAGATTTAACATTTTTTGGTAGCCGATAGTTAATATCAGTTATTTGTCTTCGAATATTAACAAAAGATGTAAATTTATTTGGAATAGAACGTAAATAAAATGACATTTTCTTCAATCTTTTCTTTCACAGATTTGTATTCGATATTCTTTAATTACAGAAATAATGTAATACAAAATACAACTGTCGGCATGACCTCTTAGTATCATATTATAGACAGTATCCGGTAAATTCACATATGTTCAATTATAGTTTGGATAAGTTTTAACAGAATTGGTGTAAAGTTTTAGAGAGGGCGTTTATGTTCAGTTAACAAATTTCAGTTTAAAATTTAAAAGAGGGCGCAAATATAATATTACATATGTACATATATGTATATATATTTGAAATTTTCACATATCACATCTAGAAAGAAGTAAATTATTTTTTTATATGACAATTTCTTATTTATTTATGTACATTTATTAACAGGAAGCTGCATTGATGATTATTGCGCTGTGATATATACGATTAAAAAATTATAATAAATGAATATTAATAATATTAACAATATAGAAAACAATTACATTAATTTAATGCAACTTTTTTCATTTTAGAAGAAAGTATTTAACGAAATAAATATAATAAACAAAAAAAAAAGTAAATAATAAAATTATTACATTAATTTAATGTAATTTTCTTCATTTCAGAAGAAGACATTCAATAAACAAAAATATTATTCGAATTAAAATTCAAATTATTCGCAAATTTTTAAATATTTCATTAATAAAAATTTAATACATTCAAATAAATTCCAGCATATTACGTTCAAGTTACAAAAATATATTCATATTTATGTTAGATGTGTGCTAAAGTATTGGTAAAGTATATTATCGAGCATTTAAAATATTAAAAATGACTTATTAGAAATTTTTTTTTATATTATTTTATCATATAAAGAACTATAACAGAATTCCAGACTTCTACTTTATAGGTAAAAGATATTTCTGTTTTATATAGATAAAAGATATTTCCAAATATTAATATAAAATTCATATCTGAAAATTCAATATTACATAATATTTTATGTGCTTTACCAAAAGACAGCGTTATTAATTAAAAATAAAATTAAATATTACGTAATAAAAACACTATATTGCTTCATAAGCAACATCGACATCAATTCTAGTAACTGAACCATTGAGAAATTCTTCAAGCTCATCACGTTCTCTATTTTCATCTCTTGAACGGTGTAATGAACGTTTTTTCTTTCTATCTGCTTTATCGGTCTTTTCTTTATCCTTTTCTTTATCTTTAGATTTTTTCTTTTTCTTCTTCTCTTTGTCTTCCGTCTATTTTAATTCAAAATGATATTACTATCAAAAGAAATGAAGTTATACTAAAAATATTTTGTATGCATACCTTCTCTTTGTGTTTTTTTTTCTCTTTTAATACGGGACTACCGCCATCGGAACTCATATGACGTACACTGGTATTATCAAGTAACTCTAAATGTACATTGGAACTTGTTACACTAACATCTAAACTTTTATCACTCAATTCTAATCTGTCTTTTCTCGTACTATTACTGCTTACATCTTCACCACCTTCAGGACTCTGTCTCCATTTGGAGTCACGTCGAAGCCAGCTATCAAATGCATCCGAATTAATCTCTTGTTGTTCATTTATATCATAATTATTTGATATCTGTAATTCTTGCTCTATAGATGAAATAGAATCACGTTTTGTCATTTGCCGCAATTTTTCTGAATTTATTTCTGTATTTGATAAAGTTTCACGTTTGTGTTTTTGTTTACTTAATGGATTTTCAGCCAATTTAGGTTGAATGGGAGGTGTTGCTTCATCAGCTGATGATAAATCATCTTCGTAACCAGCAACCAAAGGATTTGCAGTTTCAGTATCACTATAAAAAATAGAAAATTTATTATAAAATATATAAAAATTAAAAGTAAATTAAATTATAGATATTTTTTTAATTCTTTATATTATCTATAACTTTAATATACCTTTCAGAATCTAATTCCTCATGCTGTATCTTTTGTGGTGAAACTTGATTAGTATCTTCTAAGAATGATCGATCTAATAGTCCATCATCGGGTATAAAATCTTCAACACTAGTTAGTGGTACATTTGTATTTGTATTATTAATATGTGTGACTCTATCTATTTCTTCCTCCTTTTTATTACCAAATATTTTTGACATAAGTGATTGTGATTTGTTAATTGAATCTCGTCTGTCAGAATTTTCATTTAAAAATTCAGCCATTTTGGAATCAGTTTTTAAAATATTTTGTGTGGTAGATAATGGTGATGTTTGTGAATTTTTAATAGGAACTACTTGATTTTCAGAAGCATGTATAAGATTTTCTTTCTTTGGT